CTGCAGGACAAGAAGGCCCTGCTCAGGCTCCTGGGTTAGCATGACTGGCGAGGTCTCGGAGGAGTCCTTCTGGAAGTCAGAGAGGAAGGACTGCCCAATTCCCAGAAAGCCGACAAGGCTTTAGGGGACCAGGTATTTTTTGTAAATCGTCTTGATAAGAAGAAAATATTTTTTCCAATGATAAGAGCTGTCCATTTTCTGTGGATGAAGAGTTCAGAATCCGTGGAGGAGCGTCACTGCAGACTCCATGGGCCGGGAGAAGATTGAAGACTATCTGAAGCAGCAGGGTGCTTCTTCCATGCAGGAGTCTGGACCTAAGAAAGTGTGGCCCGGATTCAGAGAAGGAAGAGGCCAGCGTCACGGAAAAAGCGGTGGTCCAAGACACCTGGCTGGGAGGCTGTAGACTGTTCCCACCTCTCCTGGCGAGTAGGGCAGCCTCGCCACAGGCCGTCAGGCCCTTGCGGATCTGGGGTCGGCTGACGGGCTGGCTCCTCACTCTGCTTCGGAGGCCCGAGGAGGGGCCGTTCCCAGCAAGTGCAGAGTCCCATGCTCAGGGCTCAACAGGACGCAGTGAGCTCAGGGAACCTGTACCCTCACCGAGCCACTCCCACTCCCGGAGAGGGTGTTGCGTCTGCAGGTGTCCTTGTGTCTCCTGAGTGGTCCCTGGTCCCGCCTTCGTTCCGTGAGCCGCGTTGCAACACTTGCTGATTCCGGAAGAAGGAAGCACGGTATTTATAACCAAATCACTGTGGGACTGGGGGTGAGATCTTGACAGCGTCCAAAGCTGCGAGGTTTCCCTGAGAACTGAAGAGGCTAGGCTGGTCAGGAGCTCACTGGAGACTGACTGGCCTTTTCTGCAGGGCAGCAGGACGGCTGCCAGTTTGTGCAGAGTGGGGTGGGGATGCAGTGGGGGTTAGGCAGGGTAGGACAGAGTGCGTTAGAAGAGTTCCTAGGGGAGGGATGGCAGGTACAGGCGGCTGATCTAGATGTGCAACCGCACATTCGATTTCTGGGGGTCAAAGGGCCGCAGGACTGCAGGAGACAGGGCCCCAAGTGTCATCCATTGACGGGCCACCGCTCGACATGGCAGCAAGTGGGCTTAGGACAGTACAGCCTAGGGCATGGGCTTCAGGGCAGGGCGGTATTTGTCCATGAGGATGGAGCAGCAACACGCCTGGGCGCTTCCCCGAGGTGCTGAAAGGCCCGTGGCCCTCAGGTTAAAGCTCATTCCTTCTCCTTCCCTGGCCTTCCCCGGGGGCGTTCTCTGCGGCAGGGATGGTCCTAGGCAAGCCACGGCACCCCAGCGGGTCCAGTCTCTGCGGCCCCAGCACAAGTGCCAACCGGCAGTGGCCCAGCGCGCCCCCGCCCGGCGCCGGCAGGGTCAGTACCGCCGCCTTGCTCTCCTGGAGACCTGCTCCTCCTGCACCGCAGGCCGGGTCTGAGCCCCGTAGATGGCGGCCCGGGTCGGGGACTGCTCTCGCCTTCCGGTCCTCACGTGCAAATGGGCTGCCAGAGCTGCGGAGAGAGGGTACTGAGGCTCTCGCTCCCTGGATCCCAGGGACGCCAGTTCGCGCCCCGACAAAGCCGTCCGGCGTGCGGCTCGATGTTCTCTGGGTCCGCCGGCTATCTGGGCCGCGGGCGCCGAGGGACCTCTGGCTCTCGCAGTCCTGATGGGCCTGCTGAGTCCTCGGGAAAAACGAAGTAGCGGAGCGGGAACTACATCTCCCAGGAGGCCCCGCGGTTCGCCTCGGGCGTAGGCTCCCCGGAACGTCTCCGAGGGCTTTCGAGAGTCTCGGAATGTCTCGGGCGCCAGACAATCCCCACGTCCAATTCGCCGAGGCTTGCTGAGCCCGGCTCTCGCATTCCCAGACCTGCTGTTCCCCGAACGCGGGTCCCGCAAGGGCTGGACACGCCGTGCTGCGCGAGACTGGCTGGAGCGCCGCTCTCCAGGCCCGTGCAAAGGCCTGAGTCCAGAGCCCCGCGCAGGTGGCGCTGCAAGCGCGGGCCCCGGGAGGGGCGCGGGCAGGAGCCAGGACCGCGGTGGGCGGGAAGCCGGAGGCCCGCGGAGCCCAGGCGGGAGGTCAGGGCTTTGGAGTCTCTCGGTGGTAAAGACGTCAAATAGAGCTAGGATTTGGAGACAGAGCTCGTGGGATTGAAGTGGGATGACAAGGTAAGGCCCATTAAGGGCGACCTCCCGGTCTCCTGCCCTGTCAATGCGGGGCAAGAAGTGGCGACCCCGGGCGAGGGCGGTGCATTTGCCGGCCAGAGTCCGCGTTTGGGCGGTGAGTTTGTGATGCCCCTGACGTGTGTGGACACTGGGTGGACCGGAGGGTGTGGGGAAGCCCGCTGGCTGGAGAGGGTGCCCGGCGCTGTTACTGCGTGGAGAGGCGAGGACAGGGCCTTGGGACCGAGAGGCCCACATTTACAGGTCTCCAGGGAGGCGTGAAGGCCAAGGGTGGCCAGTGAGGTAGGACAGCAGGGTGTGGTGATTTGGGGGCTGAGTGACGGTCCGCACATGGAGGCAGCCATGGCCCAGAAGCCCAGGAAGTTGGAGCTGGATGGGTTGGAGACAGGCATGTACCAGGGTCATGGCAGTGCGAGGTGGGGGCAGCCAGCGCAGACCCGGCCTTTAAGGAGGTTCGCTCTAGAGCTCCAGCATGAAGCAGAGTGAAGACAACATCGGGGCCTGGGAGGTGTCTCCCCTCTTACCAGATGGAGGCAATCCAGCTTGGAGTGAGCTGATGAAAATGATCCAGAGGGAGGAGAAATGAGTGGTGCAGTCGAGCAAGGGAAGGGACCACGAAGCCCTCCTGGGAGGATGGTGCCACACCCACGGTAAAGTCAGGTAGAACCCCTGGGCCTTGGTGAGGGGGAAGGCAGAATAGTGCACCCCATCCCCCAGGTCCGCATCCTCATTCCTGAGACCTGTGAATACGTGGCTCTCTATGCAAACGAGGCTGCAGGTGTGATTAAGGATGAAGCTGAGGACCCGGGGATGGGGAGATGGGGATGGGGAGATGGCCGTTGTGGTTGCGAGTTCTAAACGTAGGAGCCAGAGGAGGCGGGAGGACGGAGGGACGTGGGTGGCCTCTGAAGCAAGACAAGGCAAGGAAAGGCTCATTCTCAAGTTTCTGCAAAGGACGAGTCCTTTCTGCCCACCCCTGAGTTTTAGTGCAGGGACTCTTACATCGATTTGTCTCTGGAAATGTGAAATAATAAACGTGTGTTATTTTAGGCTTCCAAATATGTGGTCATTTGCTGTGACAGCCATAGAAAGAAATACAGTGGGCAGGGATGTGGATGGGAAAGGGGTGATTCTCAGGGAAGGATGAAGCAAGCCCAGGGGACTGCTGGGAGGAGGTGGGGCAACCTGGCTGTCTGTCAGAGGGGGAGCTGTAGTCCCAGAGGTGCCATAGGCAAAAACATCTCACCCCAAGGAGGAGGCTAGAAGTGGCTGCTGTTCTGGGAGCCATTTACATTTCTGAGAAGGAAGACAGGCATGGGATCAGCAGTTAGTGTAATGGCTATGTCGCTGGACTCCCATGTAGTTGACCGTGGTTCGAGTCCCGGACCCAGTGGCTTAAACTCAAGTCGGGCGCATGTGCGCACGTGCCCAAGATCCCAAGAGGAGAATGGAGGAGAAGGGACTGTGGCGTGGCCATCCCCCCTGGGGGGTGATTTCTCACTTTCTGTCTCTCTGTCTCTCTGCTCTCTCTGGCGAGCGCACGTGCCCTATAGCAAAAATCTCTCCAAAAAAAAAAATAATAAAAGAAAGAAAGAAAGAAAGAAAGAAAGGCTGCTCCTGAGGGGCACAGGGCCAGGGTTCTGGGTCAGCAGCTTCTGACCCTGGGCAGGTCCTGCACCTTGTGTGGGGTCCGATCCCATCCACGCCCTCTGGGAAGACATGGAGGGCAAACATGAGAGCGTGTTCCTTTGAAGCAGTCCTCGCTGATGCGCCCACGTGGCACCAACGCTCCCTGCAATGGCACTGCGGGAGCCACATGGGACAGAGGACTCACAGGAGGACCTGCTAGCCATCTGCACCCCTGTGGACACACTACGTCAGGCTGCCTGGGCACTTCGGACAACCCCAGGGGTGACGCCTCCATTCCTCAAGCCCGTCCAAGGACCTCCCCCCCCACGCCCCTCCACAGCTCATCCCAGTGGTTAAAATTAAGCTGCTCTGGCTATCGCCCAACAGCTAAGGCCTGCCATTAAATCACAGGGAGTCAAGGTGAACCCCAAATGGAAACACCCCTGGTGGCCAGGGCCTGCTTGGGGGCAGATGCTCTTATAGCAAAGGCACATGACCAGAAGGAGACCCAGAGGCCAACCCTACATTGTCACTGCCTGTCCAAAGTGACAATGAGCTGCTGGGGTCCTGGAGTAGAGGACAGGGCAGGGCTACTGCGGCCGTGACTGCTGCCGCGTGCAGGCCTGACCCAGGGCCGGAGGCAGACCATCTCATCACCCTCCACTCTGGGCCTGGGTGACCTCAGGTTCAAGCTGCACAGGCCGTAGCATGTTCACTTCAAGCCGTGAGCTGAGTGGGCCCTGGTTCTGAAGCCGGTAGCACCAGGGGACGCTGTTCCTTCAGCCTAGAAAAGTGACAGCTAACACAGGGAGGCCGACACCTGCGCGGAGCTCATGGACCCTGAAACAGGTCTTGGAAAGCCACTTCCCAGCCAAGGGCCGGCAACTGGGCATTACTTTTATTATTCCTAGATGTTTATGAACAAGAGAATGGAATAAAGACAGGCCGTTCCCTATTCCCTCCAGGGTCTTCCCTGGAGACAGACCCCGTGCCAGCAGAATGCTCTAGGGATGAGGCCAGGAGCAGTCAGGCCTGAGCAGCGGTGGGCAGCACTGTGCAGTGTGGAGCCCAGAGAGGGGTGTCTGTCTCCACCACCGCACGTGATCCACTGCTAGTAAAGGATGAGGCTGTTAAAGACATTCACCAGGATGGGTGGTTAATCCGATACATTAATGACACCACATCATTAATACTTCAAGGGAATTAACTCCAAAAGTCTTTATTTAGTAACTCTGGTGTATTTCATGGCAACCGAATCACACACTCAAGCGTGCTAGGGACCACACACAGCTGCGCCTCCCCGGGCAGCTCTGAGCGGCACCACGGACTGCTCCTGCCTCCCTCTGTCTCCTGGCTGAAGTGGCAGCAGTCAAGCTTCTGTGTGGGCCCAGGCTGCTAGGACCTGAGTGGCCCTGCTCAGGACACAGCACCTAGCACCAAGGAGAGGCTCAGCACCTCCGGTCACCTCTGCCTGCAGACCCTGCAGGTGCCTGAGTGGGCGGGACAGTGAGCCTGGGAGAGCTCTGGTAGCCCTGAGGTTCTTCTCCCGCCTGCAGCTCCTTCCCTCCCTCCCACCCCAGCTGTGCTGTGTGTCTTGTCTGGGCTGGCCTTCCGAGCTACTCTACAAAGCCATCCATGGAGGAGGGAGGCCAGACCTGGGAGACATCCAGGGCCCTCCTGGCCACATCTGACCCCCTGGGAAGAGGGAGGAGCTGGGGGAAGGCCAGGCTCATCCCCACAGGCCCCTGGCTGATGTTGGTCACCAAGGCCTCCAGACGCCCTGGGCGATTCGGGGGGCAGTCAGGCTGCTCAGGGCTGCGGGCACCAAGTCCTGCCCCTCAGCAGGCACTCGACTCAGGTCAGCCTCAGTGGCCTCCTCCAGGTCGGAGCACAGATCATCCCCGGGACCGGGTAGGCTGGACATCGGGGACCCTGGGGCCCCTCCTACAGGCCAGCCACTTGGCCCAGAGGCTCCAGGAGGGCCTGCCAGGGCATCCCCCAGTAGATCGCTGAAGCTGCCGCCCTCGCGCAGAGGCATCGACTCGAGCAGGTGGTTCAGGAGCTCTGCGGCGACGGTGGCATCAATGGCCTGGCACGTGGACACGAATGTGTGCACCTCATGCATGCACTGGATGTAGCCGGCTGCGAAGCGCTCGCTCGCTTCCGCCTGCAGCTGCTCTCGCTCTGCGCCGGGAGTGGGAGGGAGAGAGCAGCGTCCCGCACCGTTAGCGGCTCCTGCCACGACCTGTCAGTCCGCGGGGACGCGGCTCACCCAGGAGGCGCGGGGGCGTGCCCTGCTCCAGGCAGCTCTAGCGGCTGACAGGCCAGGGGCTCCGGGAGAGGTTAAGTCCTCGGTCTGGGGAAGGGGAGGAGTGGGCGAGCGCGCTCCACGCCCGGCTGGTAGACACCGCTGGTAGCCATCGCCGGTGGCCTGCGTCCCCGCCCAAGCACCCCGCCGGCACTCACCGCGCGTCCGGCCTCGAAGCACACCCTGCACGCGCCGCACGGTCAACTCCAGCACCTCGGCGTTCTCCAGCTTGGCCTGCACCTGCACAGGCGAGGAAGGGCGGTGAGCCGGGCCGACGTTCCGGGACCCACCCCGTCCTCCGGACCAGCAGTCTCTCGACGGCCCCCGCACCTCAGCACCGGCCAGCAGCAGCCGCAGCTCCTGCAAGCTCTCGTTGATCCGCGCGCGCCGCTTCTTCTCCACCAGGGGCTTCCGGGCCTGCGGGAATCCGGCCTCTGAGCCCCCAGCCTTGGCGCCTCCAGTCCGCCCACCCGCGGCCCAGGCTTCCACCCCGGGCCCCACCTTGCGGTCTCCACGTGCCTCCCAGCTGTCCTCGTCCCGGCCCGCACGGTCCCGGCCGGGCGCCAGGGGTGGAGCCATGGCCGGCATAGACAG